ATATATATATATATATATATATATATATATATATATATAAAATATATGTATAAAATACTTTTTTCCTTCCAAAAAGTGAATCTTTGTCTGCTTATCTGCCATAAGACACGTTTTTAATTGAGAATTAATATATTTTAACATATTTTAATTGTTTTTTTTTCCATATAGCAGTATTTATAATCGACTTTTTAGGCCAAAAATATATGTGTAAAAAAACAACATCATGAGACCATGAAAAGTGAAATGCAATATGGTGAGTGACGACTGTTTTATTGATTCATACATTACCTTTCGTTCTAAACTACTTGTTCTGACACTTGGGTTTGGTTTATGGCTGTACATCTGGATACCAGGAGTTGTGGACCAGCAAACTGGATTATCTCGGTGGGATTCGTCTGGACCAGCAAAGCTCTCACCTGGTGGGAGGCCAGCAAAGGAGGGATCACTACTGCGTCGGACATTGAGAGACATGCCTGTGACAAGAAAAAGCAGAGTAAAATAAGGGAGATTAAAAATGGAAAAGTGAGGGAAGGAACAAAGAGAAATTGTGTTTCCGAAATTAACAAATTAATTAATAGAACATATCAAATTGCACATATAAAATTGAAATTTTCTCTTAATACGAGCATCTGTAATCTCTAATATCTGTACTATGCTCTCAAAATAGGCTATATTTTTACAACCTGCTACATTCATCCTTGAGTGAATAGTTTCCCTTGTCTGACATAAGACCATCAGTACCCCTGCCAATAGAATAGAGAAAAAATGGGCAAACAATGTAATGTTATAGATGCCACAGCAATAAAACTGAGTAGGGTAGAAGGGCAGGAGCAGGAGCCGATTCTAGCTTCCATCGGGCAAAAGGTTGGGTACACTTTGGAAAGTTCACAAGACAAATAACCATAAACACTCACAACATAAACTCAGACATCAAATGTTTACTTATGGCCATCTTAGAATCATCAATTGGCCTACAAAACATGTTTTTGGATGGTGGATGAAACCAGAGTATATTGAAAGAACCCACAAATACATGGTGAGAACATGCAAACTCCACACAGAAAGCCCCCCTCCCCCAGAGATGTGAACTGAGAATCCTCTCCCTGTGAAGCCACCACCCTGCAGCCCCTTACCAAAACAAGTAAAAGGTCTTAAATTGCTCCACATTTCAGTCCAGTTATCCAAAGAAAAAACGCTAAGTGTCTCTTAGAGACTTTGTGTAAACCTTGTGAATTTTCCCTGGATTTGTTTATGATGCTCAAGCAGCAAGAGATTTACACACACTATTATGCAAATGGCTGAGCTACCACCTGTCATCTATCAGTGCATCACTGCAGTGAGCATATGCCAGTACTAAGTATCCATCTGATGCGCCAGAGATTTGGCTTCGCGTTGGACGCGACACATTTTAACCACAGCTCACAATGTGTTCTTCCGTATTGATATCTGTGAAAAGGCTGGGTGAATTTTCATGCCATTGCCCGTTAGAAGCCAAAAAAAGAAGTAAATAAAATCAAAAGGTTAAATCAGCTTGCTCATCAGTGCATTTAATACTCATCCATATAGTTAATTCTTCAAAAGGACATCTGTAGTGAGCTTGTTCTCTTTCTTGCATGCTACTACCTTGGTCCTGCGTCTATGCATTTCTTGAAAATTCCTTCATTATCAAAGGTATTTTGGGGTGTTGGCCTATATGTAAAGATGACCTGACAAGAAAATGAGCAAAGCAAGAGCAAAAAGTGAGAAAATGTATATTTGTAAATTTATGTTCATATTATCTACTAAGGTTCACCTTTGATATTCTGGTTTCTCTGTTACTATGTCATCAGCTCAGTCCCCATACATTCACAGTGATTTCTGAAGACTTTAACGAGGTTTCCCTCTCAGCAATACTTTTTAACGTCCAACTGATTTCCAGTGGCACCACCAGAGAAATTAAGCAACTGAATACATTCTACTGAATTCAAAGATACCTATAGCACATTGTCTCTTTGGGCAGGTATATTCACTTTCATTTAAAAAGCATTGGCTAGTAAGACTATAAGGTTTCAAAGGAGAGGGATTGAATAACATGTATCCAAATAGATAAATAAATACATAAATAACATGAAAAGCCTTGAAGCTGCGAGGCTATGGAGAATCTGTGATTTTCTTGGAAAAGGGGCAATTGGGTTCAAATTTTCCTTTAAAAAACAACATAATTATTCTTAAAGCTTATGTATGCAAATATGTCAAATAATGTTTTGGAAATGTAAACATGTTGAAGTAAAAGCTCCCACGTTTTTGAAAATGAAATCTTTACCTACCTGTACCTGAAGTACTGTAGAATATTGTCAACACCATCAGGCAAAAAAAGATTAGCACCAAATTATTTTAATTTAGATATTATTGATATTTTTACTCTTTGTGGTTTCTTTGTTCTTTTAATCACATATTTATTTTCAAATTAATCATGTCACTCTTTAAAGGTTCATTTAGTGTTTAAATAGCATTAGGTTAAATAGTACTGTACTTGATTTTTGTGTTTAATTACTACAGTTCAGTTAGTACAGCATAATCAATTTGGCATTTAATCACCACAATGAACAGTGGCGTTGAGAAATGAAGAAAACATATGCACAACATGAGAAATTCAGCAATTTTGCAGACAAAAGCTTCTCCATAAAGAAAACAAATATCATGGAAAACAAAAAAATATATAAATTCCATCAGACGGAGAGACCTGCCATGACAGTGGTGACGCAGAACAAACACTGGTGACATGTAAGTAAAAATAAAATTCTGAACTCAAAATGATCACTAAATTCAAATAAATTCAAAAAAGTTGTGGCAGTGGAATTAATCCCCAGATGATAGACCTGTTACATGTTCTCTTATGAAGTGCATGACCACTACTTGTGCAAACTCTGATGATGGTTGCTTCAGCCTAACTAGAATATTTGAGAATAGCACAAGGTATGCATCCCAGTGTGCTACGACATCCTAGTTTTAGCTGGAAATTAAGTTAGACCATAGAGAATGAAAAAATTTAAAATGACATCTTTGTCAATTTTGAATGCTTTCACCGGCTACCAGTTCAGGTCATGCATGACAACAAGCCGGTCTCCACTTTGATCACTGGGGCCTATCTCAATTTTTGTGCCTACAGGTCTCCTGCTGGGCTGTTTCTCCATTTCCTCCATCAGCATTACTACAGGCACCCATAATTCAAGTGCAGTTGAGCTTACTGGACATCTGGGTCCTGTGTTAAGCCAAAGAGTGAGTTGCTGGTATAAAACACTATGCCTATAGTGCAAACTTGCAAATACACTTGCAAATCTGTGAATCTTTGCGAAAACATGAGTGGAGCTTACAATGGAACATATTCCCCTGATTTAGCACATGGATGGATTTCAGAGTTTGCATGAAGAGAGTGTCATAAGATCAAGAGTAATAACTTTTCACATATTCTAGTTTGACACCACTTAAATTGTTGGACACTGTGTCATAGAAGGCTCCATCAACAATATCCCGACCCCTCCTGGCACTTGGACTCTGAGATTGTGCAGAATCCTGTCTTTTCTAACCTGATTGAAGAGTGATCTGTGGGAGATTTTTTTCCATCATGACAAGGAAGACTGTACTTCTGTGCCGAATTTACATTTCCAGTCCTGGGAAAAATCAATATGAGCAGTGAACGTGTTTTCATCAGAATTTGTTATCTTGTTTGGTCCTCCTCTTTGGTTTGTGAACAATGTGGTTGTCTCGTTTGTCTTGGAAGAGACACATAAGCTCTGACAGGTGCCAGTGTGTTCCTGCAGTTTGTTGTGAAAGTGAGCTCTATTTTCTGTTTGTTCCTCTACACATTTCCACAGTTTTACCTTCCTCTGGAGAAAGACATGAACAAGCATATAAAAGACTGTCTTCTAGGTTACTCGTTGCCACAGCATTGCATCATTTGAGGACCTCAAGCATCACCTTGGTGTCCTCATAGTACAGAAGCTGACAGGTTTTGTCAACCTGAGGCTGTTGGACATGTGATCTGGAATGGAAACAACCAAGTTGCTAAGTTTTGTGTTTGAATCTTGTTGGAGAAATCTACCATGAAGGTTTTGCATCCTCTGACGTTTGACTTTTTCCTGTTGATGGTATCTTGCTCGTCTGTCGTTACCTTTGAATTGTTTTCCAAAAACTTGTGAAGTCTCACTGAGATTCACTGGAGAAAACTAGACTTTTTTTTTTTGTTTTTTTTTTTTCACTCAGTGTTTTGTAAGTCTATCCAAACTCTTGAACCCGCAGAACAACCCAATACTTCTTGAGAATTATACCGGACAAAGAGAGTCGTGGGTGCCCTGATGCAAGCTTATCTCTTCTGGGAGTCTGAGGAGCATCACTTTTCAACTCTGCAGTCAAGGCATGGTAGAAGCGCAATGGTCTTTTGATCAAAGGATTCCTTGTTTTGCACCCTTGAAGCAACTTTTCTGTCTTAGTCTGAGATGAGTTTTGTGTATTTCTGTTTTGAGCACGGCATTTTTCTTTTAAGTGCGCAAGTCGCTTTTTGGTCTTTCTTTTGCCAACTTGTTAATTTCATCTTTCAGCACTTTGATCTATCTTGGGTGCCTTTTCCTGGTTTTACATCTCTCCCTCTCCCCTGCTAAAAGCTGCCTTCTGCTCCTCAAAATTAGAATCTCTGGAACTCTGTGGTGGGGTATCAAGACCTGCTGGTCTTAATGTGCTCTCTTTCTGCATTCTCTTGACTCCTTATGTTTTTGCTTCCAAAATATTCTCTTTCGCCTCTTATCTCTTTCTCCCATGGCATATGTTTTATTTTTCTCTACTCCGCTCTTTTTTCTCCATCTTCAGCTCAGGCAGACTATGAATTTTTTACTACTGCCTGTATTTTCTCCCCTTCCTCTCTTCCACTCTTCAATAAGAAATAAATATATTTTTATGACCTAAGATTAAAGGATTAAGACAATTATGTTACATTTAAAACATACAGTTATACATTTTTTCAATCTTAGATTAATGTGAAGGGATCAAATTTATGTAAAATACATTAAAACAAGTACATTACACACAGTGTGATTTGTTAGCACCATCACAAGGAAGTCAGTTTAATACCCCAACAGTGTAGTCATCTTATGAAATTGACAGAATGCTGTTTTGTCGTCATTTACATTTTTACTGGCTGAAGCCATCTTTTGCATCATCACTTTCTTGAGACCCTTTACAATATACTAAACTGAAACACTAATTTCACAAGACTCTCCTAAAATTGAGTATTTTATCAATCATGGTGTTGACAGACTATGGTTGTGAGGTACAATTTAGAAAAGAAAAAGGAACAAATACACAAAAAATCATTGAAGTTTACAAGTGTTAGCTAGCTCTCATTGCATAAGGAAGAAAAAGGAAGTGGTCAAAAGCGCTTCAGAACTTTTGATGCCCCCTATAACTTCTGATTTTTTGTACGTCTGATCATGTTGACAGAATCTCTGGAGATAATTCAAATTGACTTGTAGAGATTTTAGATTTAAATATTTCTTAGTTGCATTTATTGATAATTAATTAATTATTTACTTCAATACTTATATTCAGTGGTTATAATACTGTATTTGATTTATTTGTTTTATATATTTTGATGTATTGAGTTCTGCTCCAGAACAACAGATTTTTTAGACACTGCACAAACTACATAATTAAAAGAATATTCACCAATCAACATGAAAGCATACATCATTATGCTGATTTTGTCAAAATTAGTTTCCAGTCACTTGCAGAAATTATATTTGGTGTATATTTTTTGTGTCACATTGACCCAATTTTGACCTATTAAACTACCTTTTAAGGATATAACTTTACTTATCATTCTTATTGTGAACAGTCCATTACATTAATTAACAATCAAACTGTAACACTATAATCTGTGTGTCTAACAATATACTCAACATGCTGCAATCAAAACACTGAAGGATACGGTTTATATTTATACATATAACAAAACTTTTTATGTAACACAGGTGGACAATTATGTTATATGCATCTGACTATATTCTGATAAAGGGAATTGTCAGAGGAATTCTCAATATATTGTACACTCTATATCTAGTTGAAATCATTGACATTAGTCAAGTTCTCTGGTAGGAACCTCAAAGCATTTGTAACATAAAGTCGCAGAGAGGCTGGAGCCTATCCAAGATGCCTAAAGGACCTGTACACTTAGAAAGTTGTCAGTTTATAACAGGATAAACATGGAGACAACCAAGCACACTCACATGCATTGCTCGTATGTTTTTAGAATGCAAGCCCCAAAAAAATAAAATAAAATAAAATAGAATGCAAGCCCAACTTTGTTGGATGGAACACTCAAACTCCACACAGAAAGGAAACAGCAGAGATTCCAAATGGATACCATCTTGCTGTAAAGAAAGCAGTGGCACTGTGTCACCATAATGCTGCCACCAACATGACCCAGCAGCAGCTTTTAATCTAGTGGCTATTCTGTTGTTGCCAATGTGCTTCATTTATTTTGGATACTGCCCATAGGCATCTTGAGAGGATGTTGGAAATCAAATGAAGAAACCACATTTCCTATAAACTAGCCTGCCAGTCACTGTGAATTTACTTTAAAATTAGGTTGAAGTTCAATAACAGCATTCAATAAGCTTTTACCCCTTTCGGTAATGGCTGGTTTATGTCCAGTTCAGAACTCTAAGCAGGGGTAATTAATGTCAGCTTTTTAGACAGAAAGAAATTCAGGAGATGGGAATTGAAAGTGACAGAAGGGAGCAAGGACTATTAGACAAGAAATACAAAATCTAAAACTTTGTGAACCTTTTATTTTCCAGAATATCTCAAGGCTCAGGTCTTCCTGGATTTTTTAAATCTTTGGAATATATTTCATACATAAATGTAAATGTGACTGGTTTCAGGTGCTTATCATTGTGGATAGACAGGATCATTTGCACTGTCTGCAAAACAAGCCCCTGCAACTTTAACATCAAGATCGTTGGTCTTATAATGCTTTACATCAAGGGAGTTGGTTATGTCTATTAAGAATTTGACAGGTTATAGATAAGTCGATATAACTTTGTTTCAAACTCAGCAAACTGCAACTTTTCAATTTCATCAGTATTTTCAATTGCTGCTCAAGATGTGTCAACTTCTCTTTCATCCATGATGATCATAATGATGATTTTTTTCCTCATTTTCCACAACCAATGTCCTTCTATGCAATTTGTGATGGGATTATTCCAGTATTCCAAAGACTTTGGGTGTTCCCATGTTTAATATCCAGCACCACAACTTCGCAACAAACCAGAATCGATCTAGACTGATGAAGGACTGAGGCTATTTGGTAGAGACGGGGGGGAGCTAATAAATAGAGGCCCTAATCCAGCCCCCTTAGTGAGGGATTATGGTGCGGGCACAGGGTCACAGGCATATACACACACCAAAATTCACCAAGGAGATATCCGACTCAAGGGGATATTACTTTTTATAGCTTTGTCCTTTATTTATTTTTCATGGCTTGAAGGCAAACCATGAAAAAAAAATATATATATATATATATTTACTGATATTCATAGATATATAATCATAGATAAAAACACTGTCATAAACATATCAATATAAAATTCAGATGCTTATATATCTCTGTATTTGTGTGTGTGTCATAATTGTCAAAGTCATTTTGATTCATATTAAAATGGAAAATCTTATGTGTTAAAACTGGGCAAGCAGTTAGAGGATGATGCAACTGAGCTTTGTCGTGGCCATTGTGGGTGTTATTTATTTCAAGTTTTCTATAGGCTCAACCATTTCTAATTAGAAAGTTCACAGTCTTCTCTTATAACAGTATGCTTCAAACGAGTGGTACGAGTAAAAATGCAATTCTTCATGCCTAATGTGGTTAAATCAAGATAAACATCACTTACATTTTCAACATAGTGGTCAAGGGTTTTGAAGGGTAATCTCTAAAGTATCGGCTCTAGAAGTTAAAAGTCACTCAAATGGCATGAAGTAAAGAGTCCTTGTAATTTGAAGAAATTAGTGGCTTATTCTTTTGTCTGGCTGCTAAATTGAGCAATTCAATTTAATAAAATTGTATTTATATAGCACCGAATCACAACAACACTTATCTCACAGCGCTTTCCAAATAGAGCAGGTCAGACCCTACTCTGAAGTTATTTACAGAAGCTTCAACAATTTCCAGTAACCAAGTAACAATTGCATCTGCATGATGATAAAGTTACAGATAAAACTGTGTAAAAAGTAATGCTGGTTGATTTTGCATTCTTGTTTCTATGTCTGTGATGCTGCTTTACCACGAACGAACAACAAATCGCGTAATATATTTTTAGGAAAAATCCTGTGTGGAAGACCAAACTATATAAAGTTATTTCTACACATGTAAAAAAATAAAATAAAATAAACTGCCAAAGTCAGGTTTATTGTTGTCTTGACCCCTCAAGTCATAGTATAAATAAAAGTAGAATTCCATGATGATCATTCCGCAGCTTTATGGACTCCACATTTCAGATGAAGACATTTGACAAAAAAAATGTCAGTTGTGAGGTGGGTTAGTGTCAGTATCTACGTACAGCAGGTATAATATTAAATCCATATTGCACCATATCTTACAAATGATAACCACCTGGTGGATTTTTCCTGCACAGTGAGATGTGATTCAAGGTTATAGACTAAATTAAGTCAGATTCCTGCGAATGGTATTTAAATACAAATGAGAGTTCACAGAAAGTATAAATGCAACACTAACAGATGAAGGATGAAAAGTAGAGTGGGGATTTTCTCTCGTGGCCCTGAAGACTCTGTGTACTCTGAGTCGATGCTTTCATGTTTAACTGATTTAAATATAAATGCCAAGTGACCATGACCTTTTGAAATAACTAAAAGCTTTTATTTCTTCTCATGAGGTATTTTGAATTCTTCAGGCCAGTTATATGTCTGAATAAATCATGCTACCGAGCCATTTTAACTCTCTCTCACCACTGGCAACATACTGGTGCTCTTTGTGTT